ATACATACATACATACATACATACATACATACATACATACATACATACATACATAGATAGATAGATAGATAGATAGATAGATAGACAGATAGATAGACAAAAGTATAAAATATTTACCTCCATTTTCGAAATGAAGCTTCCGACATAAGACAGTAGAATAAAGTAAAATTGCACATTAAAACAAGAGCTCGTCGTGTGAGACATGAAATAAAATAAACATAATTGCTTCTCTGTTAAGCAAATATTGCTGAGGCTAAATAAAATTACAGAAGAAAGAATGGATTGCCTCGTAGAAACAACGTTTTCAGGCAACGGTCGTGCAGGAATTCCTCACAGAAAGGATTCGTTACATTTGACGCCGTAATACCCCCTCTTTTGGCAAATAAAAAAGATGAGTCTGGGAATTATTCTGAATATTGATGCAGAAGAGGACAACGGTAGCCCTCAAAGTTGGCGTGATACGTCAGAAAATGATGGAACGAGTCCTTACGACTGATAAATAGATCGCATAGACACACTTGAGATGATAAAGTTGATTTTTACCGTTGGTAAAAGATTCGCAAATAGCAATGTTATCATTCTAATCCCAGATAGCTTGTTCTCTTCGGTATGACCGCGTTAAAAAATTAGTCCATTTATTAATCAACCAATGATCACGAAACTTTGCGTGGCACGTCTGCAGGCCAGCGACCAAACAACAATTAGTTTTTAAAATCTTGATCCAGCATTTAAAAAGTTAATCTCTTTTGGCCGTTCTTTGAATGAATACACAGGATCGCAAAAATAAATTACTTGCAGTAACCAAAAATAAAATAAATAAATAAATAGTATTTGTATAGCGCATATCCCCGCTCAACAGCAGGCTCTATGCGCTTTACACTATATTATTACCACAGCAGACCATAGAACACTCCGAAACATTCTCAGCTTCCCGGGAAGCATATAGTGCAAGCAGCTGATTAAGCTCTCAAACTCTAACAAACTGGTATGCAAAGATCTGAGAACATTAAAAAGAACGATTCCATTTCATATTGTTTCAACAACGGTCTGACAACAGTGAACAAGCCATAATGTGATACCTTAATATATAAATATCGAATCTGATTGCCTCAGGAGATGTTTGATATAGGATTTGTCACAGTGCTGCTCGGGATTATTACTTTGCATACTTACTACTAAGGACAAGTGGATACTATTTAGGCTTTTTGCAGTTAAAGGAAAGACTTATTTTTTCTCCGTTGTTTTTCCATTAAATCTGATTTTTACCGTCAAGATAGAATGTAAGAGTTCTGCGCTGGGATTTACGACAGTCGGAAAATAGTTCTAACACGTTTAAACACAGGTACGTATGCGCTCTCTCTCTCTCTCTCTCTCTCTCTCTCTCTCTCTCTCTCTCTCTCTCTC